GTGAGCGGGGGAGGAGCAGAGAGAGAGGGAGACGCGGGATCCGAAGCAGGCTCCAGGCTCCGAGCTGTCAGCACAGAGCCCGACGCGGAACTCGAACCCACGAACCCACAAACTGTGAGATCATGACCTGAGCTGAAGTTGGATGCTCAACTGACTGAGCCGCCCAGGCGCCCTTCCTGTAGGCACTTTTAATTCCTCCAGCAATGACTTATGACATGTTTGAAATGAGGCTCGGAGACTCCGTGCCTGGGGGTTTTATTGGGGGTTGGTCCTAGCATGTAACTAAATTCCGAACTCCCAGAAAGAAAGCATATGTTCAACATAAAAGCATCGTATAGCTTGGGTGCCATGAACCATTCTTATCAGGGAATAGTGGGAGCCCTCCCAGATCCAAGGTTCCTGATGCTGGCCAAGGGCCTTTCGAAGGATAGCAGTTAGGCCTGCTATGTTAACTCTTACTGCACACTTCTTATATTCCCTATTCAGTTAAAAAAACCTCCCACTGTCTAAACTCTGGAACTGTGCTATCCAATATGGCAGCCACTGGTGACATCTGGCTAACGAGCACTGGAAACATAGCTTGTCTGAGTTGAGCTGTGCTCTAAGTATAAAGTGCACCCTGGATTCCAAAGACTTTGTGTGGAGAAAGAATTTCAAATATATCAGTACTTTTTCTGCTGATTACCTATGGAAATGACATTACATTAGGTATTGGGGATGAAACGAAGTCTATTATTAAACATTTTCACCTGCTGCCTTTTTTTTAAAGTGGCTACTGGAAAAATTGAAATTAAAATTGCACACGTGGCTGTGTTACATTTCTCCTGGATGGCGCACTCTAGAGTAGGAGTTGGAAGTGATAGCCTGTGGGCCACATGTGGCCCACTGCCTGATTTTACAAATAAAGGTTTATTGGAACACAGCCACGCCCATTCGTTTACATATCATCCTTGGCTGCTTCCAGGCTGCGACAACAGAATTGAATAGTTGTGACAGAGACGACGTATCCTCCATCTGTCCCCCAAAGTCCAAAATATTTATTCCCTAAGGGTACCTGGGTGGCTCCATCGATTGAGCATCCGACTCTTAACTTCAGCTCGTGTCATGATCTCGAGGTTTGTGAGCTTGAGCCCCGCATTGGGCTCTGCGCTGAAGGCTCGGAGCTTGGTTGGGAATCTCTCTCTCTCTCTCTCTCTCTCTCTCTCTCTCTCTGTGCCCCGCTCGTCGTGCGCGCACACTCTCTCTCAACATGAACAAAAATAGGTAAATAAAACACATATTTACTATCGAGCCCTTTGCAAAGAAGGTAACCTTGTAAAGAGTGAGCAGACTCTCTCTTTGCTACTTCGTAGGGCTCATTTAGAGAGGGTTTCTGGTATCGCTCCAGCCTGAGTTTTCTCTGGTCTGGAGGGCCCTCTGCGAGAATGTCTTCTGTGCCTCTGCTCCGTTAGGTTTACGTGCGAAGGGGCTACATCGCCTACGAGTTAAACAGCTTGCAGCACCGGCAGCTCCCAGATGGCACCTGCGTGGTAGAATTCCAGTTCATGCTGCCCTCCTCCCACCCAAACCGGTATGGAGTGGGGCGCACCCGGGGGAGGGGTGGTGGGTGTTTCTTTTCTCCCTGGCCACCATAGTCCTGTCTCTGGAGGGACCCAGCGAGTATGTCTGGGGAGGGACCTCAGGAACGCCACTTCCCCACCGTGGGATCTCCCTACATCTCTGTTCTCTCATCTGCAAAAGGAGATAATCCAATGCCTGCCCCATGCACCTGTACTTCCCAGTGTGGAAGCCACTACCCCTGTGTGGGCTCTTTAAATTAAATCGAGTGAGATTCAATGACACATTCAGCTCCTCGGGCCTACCTGCTGCATTTAAAGTGCCCCATAGCCACATGTGGTTTGTGGCTGCCACGTGGGATACTGCAGTTCTAGAACATTCCATCACCGCAGAACGTTCGCTCCGGTGGCGCGCTCCTAGATCATTATGGGGAATAAGTGAGATAAGGCCCACATGGCTTTTAGGGGCATGCCTGGCATGCAGAAAGCTGTTGGTGAGCATTAGTGATCCCTGTGATGGTTATCGCTATGCCATTGGTCGGGCACCGTGCACTTCCACACCCTGTTTCATTCAGCCCTCACCATCTGTTGGCCAAAACTGTGTTCCTATCTCCATTTAGGCCCTGGGGCCTCCCCTTGGTATATGCCCAGCTGTACGCAGGGTAGGGATTCGAGCCACATGCCTCACTCCAGAGTGCTCTCCGCAGCACCCGACGGACCTCTGGAGCCACCAGCCGGGGCCGGTGTTGGCCTGTCTGGATCCCCACGATGTGCTCAGTTGGGGACATCCTGGTGTGCCTCTGCTGTTCCCTCATCATGTCTTTTTTTAATCCATCTCATTTCAGGACCCAAAGTACCGTTCTGGTCAGGTAGAATGTGTCACCTTCCGCTAAAGCAATCACTCTCCCTACAGTGTGGAGAGTTCTCTTTCCCTCTTCCCTCGCCCCTCTGTGTCTGGTTCTCCTGGGGCTCCCCGCAGGCTTTGCTTGTGGCTAGGAGGACGGTCTCATCATGACTGGGGCGTTAGGTTAACCAGATCTTGGGTC